TCTCTCTCTCTCCTCCTCCTCCTCCTCCTCCTCCTCCCTCCAAACAAACAAACAAACAAAAAGTAATTTTAAAAAATGTAAAACTTGCTCTTCTGCATCTCTGCCATTGCATGAGAAGGACATGCCTGTGCTAACTTGTTACCCACAAAGAGGAAGAGAGACATCCTCTCATTCAGAAAAAGAGGAAGAGGAATAAGAGGAGGAGGGGGAGAAGGAGGAGAGCCAACCAAAGAGAAAAAATTCTTTCCATTAGTCCAATTACCTTAGGTCAGTGGTCGGCAAACTCATTAGTCAACAGAGCCAAATATCAACAGTACAACGATTGAAATTTCTTTTGAGAGCCAAATCTTTTAAACTGAAACTATATAGGTAGGTACATTGTTATTAACTTAATTAGGGTATTCCTAAGGCTTAGGGAGAGCCACACTCAAGGGGCCAAAGAGCCACATGTGGCTCTCGAGCCGCAGTTTGCCGACCATGGCTAGGTCATCTGCCTAACCTGGACCATGCTCATTGGTTTAGGCCTGGGTTCTAGAATCAAACATTGGCAAAGTAAATAGGATTACCATGACTGGATCTGTCTGGGAATTGAATCCGTTTCCTCTAAGTCAGCGGTTCTCAACCTGGGGTCGAACGACCCTTTCACAGGGGTTGCCTAAGACCATCGGAAAACACATATATAATTACATATTGTTTTTGTGATTAATACTATGCTTTAATTATGTTCAATTTGTAACAATGAAAATACATCCTGCATATCAGATATTTACATTATGATTCATAACAGTAGTAAAATTACAGTTATGAAGTAGCAATGAAAATAATTTTATGGTTGGGGGTCACCACAACATGAGGAACTGTATTAAAGGGTCGCGGCATTAGGAAGGTTGAGAACCACTGCTCTAAGTGATCTGGGAATGGGTGAACCACTTTTGCCTCATGAGCCTTACAATTTTATTCCAAATGGAATAGGAATTAGTGTTTACTCTGATTAGGGGATTTTTCCCTTGTGCAATAGTTACAGTGAAACACAATCATGGGCTTTAAAATTTGTAAAAATGAATAAAACAAGTGAATTACCTTAAGCAGCCAATGGAGAGTATACCTATTATTTTAAAGTTCTTCTCTTTAAGGAATCAGAGTTGTTGGGTTTTTAAAAAAATATGTTTTTATTGATTTTTTTAGAGAGAGAGAGGAAGGGAGAGGAAGAGAGAAATAGAAACATCAATGAGAGAGTAACATCAATAGGCTGCCTCCTGCGGGACCACTACTGGGCATTGAGCCCACAACCTGGGCATGTGCCCTGACCAGGAATATAACCGGGCGACACTCAACCAACCAAGCCACACCAGCCAATCAAGGAATCAGAGCTTTTTATCAACATTATTCACCCTTCCTACTAGTCCTTATCAGGATAAAGTGAAGCATACAAATCACTTCTATGTCCTAAATAAGAGTAGAAACATTGGGGTAACTGGCGTAAAGGCATATGAAGAACTCTTTGTAATACTAGATTAAATCCAGATTTCCTTTCTCTAGGTTTTATGCTTATTCCTTGTTACCTTTTAAAATGTTATTTTTTTAAAAAACAGATTTTGAAACTTTTATCTCATAGTATATATAATCAGTAATTGTGAGTAAGTATGTTGCTTTCACTAAGACCTCATCTACTTGTTTTCCTTTCTATACACTGTATCTGGGAAAGTAAATGCGGTCCTTTTTCTCCCTTTTTGCTTCTCTATTTACACTTCAGATCAAAATATTGAGTTTCTTTCACTGTGCTCACTTATCCAACATTGCACACCTACTATGTGCAAAGTGAAACCAATAGTTCTCCTTCCCACTTGTTAACTGGTTGTTTTGTTTTTGTTCTTGTTTTGGCAGCATCTTATTCCAGTACCAATAAGATTTGCTAATATCTTTAGGTAGAAATAATAACTTTGTGACATGGTGATAGAGATGCTTGTTCCTTAAAGTACTGCCAATTTTTAATTATCTGAAATTGTGAAGAACATTAGAAGTACAGTGAACAACCTCAAAATCTTATTATATTTAGTGATGGAATTCATTTTAATACTTATATTTACATATATCTAACATCAGTGCCTAAAGTAAACATAACACTTGCTTTAGTAGAATATGTGATCTTGACGTTTAGAATATGTGATATGATAAGGTAAAGAAAGAGAGTGTATTTCCCTTCTCTGACATATTAAAGAATTACGTATTTTGGGGGGAGTCCTGACTAATAACAGTAACTAACGATATAGCATTTTCTTGAACATCATTTCATTCTCCTGTGGAGATAAATTAGTATTCCCAGTTATGAACAAACAATCTAAACGTAGCATAGAATGAATGTCTGGCTAAAATCACATCTCATTTTCTTATTTATCTTGGTCTTTGACCACTGGAAATATGCAAAGTACATAAAGAGTACAGTCATTAAAAAAATAAGTAAATCCAGTAGAAATTTTTCAAATTGAACCCGTGACCTCAAGAAAACATATTTTGTATAAAATAACTGGTTATCATTAAATTACACATCAGCACCGATTAGAAATTTCACATTGAATTACGTACTGAAATATAAATGCCTGAAATGCACACATCTAATTTTACAGGTTGGTGGCAGAATTCCCTGCAACTGGAGGAATACTTACTTCATGGAAGTTTTATTCAGTGAAACTCCTCATCTATGTTAGCTACTATGATTATTTTATTGCTTTCTGTGAAATCACATTTTTAATTTTGTTTACTCTCTTCCTAATACAAGAAGGCAAAAAAATGAAAGAATTTAAGTTTGCCTATTTCAAACGTATTTGGAACTGGCTAGAATTACTACTTTTGGTGGTAAGTATATAGTCACATGTATGAAGGAACTCACATATGAACCCATCAATAAGAGGTGTAAAAAGCAGAAATTTTTATTCATCAGAACTTATTTTAAAAGCTTCAAATATCAAATCATAAAATGAACTGTTATAGTACATACTAATGGTGTGCTTCCAAAAGGGAAAAGCCTTTTTTTTTTTTTCCTGGTTTGATTCTTGGGAGGACCAGGGTAAACCTAGAGGAATCGGTAATTCCATAGGTATCATGATTTAATGTGCACAATAGGTCTCACCTACCCCCACTCAAAAATCTATTCTTTACAATCACGTTGAAAATCATGGATCTTTTCTCTGTTGCCTAAATCTGCTTTCCTCCTCACACTGAATTTTGAAAGAATAGCTAAAAGACACAAAATACTGAAGTGGGAGGAGGTTTGAACGGCTAGAGGGTAGCTTGTGGGTACAGAGGACATCAGTATGGGGAAATAGTCCCTGAAAGAAACTCTGAAGACTGCCAGTCCTGGTCACTACAACATAATAAAATAAACAGAGATGTAGGTAGGTAAGAGCGTGGTTTAGGAACAATGAACGAACACTTCTGGTGTATACAATCTGATCTTTCACCCCTATTGGCCAAGTTAATAGCTAAGCCTTGTTTCCCAAAACCAGATTGAAAGTTTATCAGAGTCAGAAAGTGTGCCATCTACCTTTCTAGTACCCCCAATAATGTTTAACATATGGCAGGCATAGGGTTACATGTTTAATGATTTGACTATTTCAGGCAAGGGAAATCAAAAGGAAATTTTCATGACAGTTATAAAGCTCTGACATCTAGTCCTGAAATCTTCTAAAGAAGTTGTTAAAGGGTTCCAACGGGGCTTCTTTGTTTGAAACTGTAAAATTTTGTCCTTGTAGTGTTATATGGTGGAAATATAAAACCTTTAGGTATCATGTAGTTACATGGAGCAGAAATCCTTACAGCCTAGTCAGAGTTATAGAAGCACTGTATACATTTGTGTTTTAGGACTCAAGGAAACAAGCAGGCAGATAGAGTAGGATGGTCAGGTTGATCAATATTTTTCTACATTTATGATGATTAAACTGCTATAAATTAAGGCTTACTTCCATGTACTAAAACCCTATGTTTTATCTCTCCCTCCCTTTTGTTGAACTTTTGATGAACTTTTTCATGTGCTTCTTCATAGACTGCAGGAGATTTAGAGGTAGAAATAGCCTCTAATTTAACCCTTCTCTTTTTTTCCCATATAGCTGTGTTTTTTGACCATTTTCTTCAACTTATTCTGTAAAATACAAATTTTTCTCTTACTTGAACAGCTGTTTAAACGTACTGAAGAATATTCAGACTTCTATTTGCTCGCACACTGGCGCATTTTTTACAACAATATACTTGCTATTATCATCTTTTTTGCATGGATAAAGGTATTTATATTTTATTATATTCGATACAATAGAATAGATATAATATTTTTATATTAGATATCAAAATGGGAACTTAAACTACAAAGCATGAAAAAACAAAAGGATATCCTTAACTATAAAGTAATTTTACAAGTAGTTTGGCAATGTAATGATTGCTGACACGTCCTTAAATACCCCTGACTATCATTAAGCACCTCTTTGAAATTAAAGCAGATTTCTTCTGAAGCTAATTTAACTTATTCTAAGTAATTATAATCTTTAATATCCTATTTCAATTAACTATGTTCTTTTTCAGATATTCAAATTCATAAGCTTTAATAACACAATGTCTCAGCTGTCATCAACCTTGTCCTGCTGTATCAAAGACATAGTAGGATTTGCCATCATGTTTTTTATAATACTCTTTGCTTATGCCCAGTTAGGATTTCTTGTTTTTGGATCACAGGTTGACGACTTTTCTACTTTTCAAAATTCCATGTAAGCTCTTCATATAAATGTAATTATATTTTCCAATTTATAACAAAAAAAATCACGGAAAGATCTATGTTAAGTAGTAACATAAGCTTTAATAACTTTAAACTTGGTTTTATATTTTCACTAACAGCTAAGTATGTCATACTCAAAGTATGGTTAGGCATTGAAAGATCCAAATGGATGGTGATATCAGTTTTTTAAGAGTTACTAGGTGATGCTGAAACCGGTTTGGCTCAGTGGATAGAGCGTCGGCCTGCGGACTGAAAGGTCCCGGGTTCGATTCCGGTCAAGGGCATGTACGTTGGTTGCGGGCACACCCCCAGTGGGAGATGTGCAGGAGGCAGCTGGTCGATGTTTCTCTCTCATCGATGTTTCTAACTCTTTATCCCTCTCTCTTCCTCTCTGTAAAAAATCAATAAAATATTTTTTAAAAAAAAGAGTTACTAGGTGAAATTGGAAAAATAATTTTCATTTCTCACTAGAAGTGAAATTGGCTCCATGTCTCTGAGCAAAGGATATCGTGTTTTCTTTAGAGGTCTCCATCTTTAGAATCCTTTTATTGATGTTGACCTGATTGCTCTTTGTTGCTCTGGTAAAGCTGTGTTTTAAAAATAGCTTTATACACATAAAGCAATCAGCAGGCAACAAACTTATAAAACTAATTAGAATCCCTAGAAAAGTATTCAGGCTTTCCTTTAACATTGAATAATTTTAATAAATTTACTCCACTTTTCAAGTAGGTAAAGCAAGCTGTCTGTATAAGTAAACTATGATATTCTAAAATATCAATTCTCAAAACATACTCTGTGGACTCTAGACCAAGATTGTCTGCGGGGAAATGGCCTCAGATATAAGTAAGATTGGGAAAATATGCAGTGCATAGTAATGGCTGTGAGAAAAACCCCAATAACTTAATTTTAGTTAAGAACATATTTGTCCATGACCTTTTTTGTTGATTTTGGGGACATCTGGTCTAAAGAAATGTCTAGGTTGCCCTCTTTTCACCATCCACATATAAATAATTGAAGTACCAATGTTATAAAATGTAATAACATTTTTCTGAAATAAACCTGTACTAAATCAGTAGTGGGAAGAGTAGGGTAGAAACCAAGAGGATTTAACTCTACTTTTCCAATTCTGCCATTTGCTATTTAACATTTCTAGACCCTAATTTCTTTATCTGTAAATGAAGGGATTGATCTAAATCACTTCCAAAGGTCCTTCTCAACTTCAAACAATCTATAATTTAAGAAGTCTAATTAGCCCGATCAGTGTGGCTCAGTGGTTGAGCGTCAACCTATGAACCAGGAGATCAAGGTTTTATTCCCTGTGAGGGCACATGCCTGGGTTTTGGGCTTGATCACCAGTAGGGGGGCATGCAGGAGACAGCTGACTGATGATTCTCTCTCATCATTGATGTTTCTATCTCTCTCTCCCTCTCCCTTCATTTCTCTGAAATCAATAAAACATTACAAAAAAAATCTTTTTTAAAATGTCTAATTAGCTTATCCTGAGTAAAGAATATTTGCAGTTTCAACAATTTTTTGGTCATTTCCTAGGATATCAATTCAAATGCTACTTAAAACGTAGTTGTATTAGATATTGAATATAAATGTAGTAATTTACAGAACCTCAGAAATTTGTCTTACCTTGGTTGGTGGGAAAATTGGAGGTATAAGCCACAGAAAAAAGTAGAGAACTCTGGAATGGATTTAGGATATTTCTGTGCTTGGTAATGATGTCCTAGATTATTCAGATCAACCACCTCTTCAGGACAATTGAAAAAGCTGGAAAACATAGAAATTCTTTAGAACTAACAAAAAAGCGAGTAATAACTGGGCCACAATCTGAAGGCAAGAATCCAGAGAAGCCCAGCACCCAATGCTACTTTTGCCCTGAAGGGCTCTTTTTAAGTCAATAAGAATTTTTTTTATTGTGGTAAAATACACATAAATTTATCATCTTAACCATGTCTTGTAAGGTACAGTTCAGTGATATTAAGCATACTTATATTGTGCAACCATCACCACCACTCATCTCCGGAACCCTTTTTAATTTTGCAAAACTGAAACTCTATACCCAGTAAAAAAGAACTCTTCATCTCCCTGCTTATCCCAGACCCTGGCAACCAGTGTTCTACTTTTTGTCCCTGTGATTTTGATTACTCTAGGCACCTAGAGAATCATACAGTATTTGTCCTTTTGTGACTGATTTATTCCACTTTAGCATAACAGTGTTGTAGAGTATGTCAGAATTTCCTTCCTTTTTTAGGCTGAATAATAGTCCATATATGTTTATACCATATTTTGCTCATCCATTTATCTGTCAGTGGTTTGCCTCCATATTTTAATTATTGAGCACACGGCTGTACAAATATCTCCCTGAGGCTCTTTTACTAGTAATTCTTTTGGGTATATACCCATAGATAAAAGTGCTAGGTCATATAGTAATTCTATTTTGAATTTTTTGTTTGTTAATCCTCACCCAAGAATATTTTTCCATTGATTTTTTTAGGGAGAGTGGAAGAGAGGGAAAGACAGAAACATCGATGTGAGAGAAACACATTGATTGGTTGCCTCCGGCACGAGCCCCAACCAAGGCCCAGGCTGGGGAGGAGCCTGAAACCAAGGTACATGCCCTTGATCAGAATCGAACCCGGGACCCTTTGGTCCACAGGCCAACGCTCTATCCACTGAGTAAAACCGGCTAGGGTATATTTTGAATGTTTTTAGGAACTGCCAAACTTTTCCACAGTGGCTATATGATTTGGCATCCCCACTAGCAGTGCACAAGGGTTTCAACTTCTCTCCACCCTTGTCAACTTTTTATTTTCCAGTCTTTTTTTTTTTTTTAGTAGCTATCCTAATGGGTATGAGATATTTCATTGTGGTTTTGATTTGCATTTCCCTAATTCGTGATAGTGAGCATCTTTTCATGTGCTTATGCATATGTTGGCTCACTTGATGGCCCCAAGGTCCATTAGCTCTGCTAGCTTTTCTTCAATCTTTTTTTTCTGTTCTTCAGACTCGATAATAATCTTCAGAGTCACTGATTTTTTTTCCTTCTGCTTGTTCAAATCTGCTTTTGAATTCCTCTGGTGAAAAAAATTTTTTTTTGGTGAATTTTCATTTCAGTTATTGATCTTTAGCTCTATAATTTTTTAGTTTTTCTTTTTATTTATATTTCCATTTTATTCATATGTCCTTTTCTTTACTTTCTCCATGTCTTCTTAGTACGTTGAACATCTTTAAGATGATTGTTTTAAAGTCTTTGTCTAGCAGGCCTGCCATCTGATCTTTGTTTAAAATTATTTCTATTGGTTTATTTCTTTCCTTTTAGTGGGCCTTACTGTATCTTTGTATGTCTTGTCATTTTGTTGTTGTTGAAAACTGGACATTTGAATGTAATAATGTGGTAACTCTGTAAGTTAGATTCTTTCCCTTCCCCAGGGTTTGCTGGGTTTGTTGTTATTGCAGACTGTCTCCATACTAAGTATCAGCCTAAGATGTAAACTTAATGTTTTCTTAGGTCTTTTCTGAGCCCGTGTTTTCCTTAGGGCATGCATGGTGAATTTCTAATTTCCTCCATATATGCAGTTGGTTTTGAATATCATCCTAGGTTATAGTATCTCCCAAAAGGGGAAAAAGAGAAAAATGAAGGGGGAGGAAGGGCGCTAGCCCTTTAAATCCCAAGGCCATTGCTTCAGCTGCGGGGAGAGGGAGCTTACAACAAAGATGTGGAGAACACCTGCCTCTGTGTCTGCACCTCTGTGATCAGAGCAGCAATCAGAACACAAACCCCTGCTGTCTGAAGAACAGGGTCCTTATTGCCCATCCTGGCTCCCACGAGCTGCGTGTAAACTATTCCAGGAATACATGCACAGCTGTATGCCATGGGATGGAGGTGGGAGATGGGTAGCTACCGCCAAACTAAAAACTGGAATTGATCAAAATTGTCTGAGCCTTTCCTTGGAAGTTGTGAGCCTTCAACAGACTCCAGCATTCCAAAATAATTATATCAGACCAGACAGCTGCCAATGTGATTGCTGTCTCGGTGAGGAGACAGATTCTGAGTTTTTCTTACCATCTTCCCCAAATCTCCCCCCTGAAGGCATTTTTGCTGATCTAGAAAAAAAAAAGTTGAGAAACTGTGTTTCTGACCACCTCTTCGGAAGGAGACAAAAGACAATGCCCAGGACCTGCATGTGTGTTTGTGTTAGGGGGTGGAGGGCAAAGGTGGATTTTCAGATAACCTCTTTACAAATCAAGCAGGAAGCCTAAAGTGCTCCAGCCTCAAGTTAAAAGTAAACCCCTTATAGTGACTTGAAGCCTGAGTTTAATCACCTAGGTGTCCAAGGAATCTCATATCTTAAACTTGAATTAAGATGTCCTGGGCTAGCCCTAGGTGGTTTGGCTCAGTGGATAGAGTGTCCATCTCCGGACTGAAGGGTCTCGGGTTTGATTCTGGTCAAGGACATATGCCCAGGTAGTAGACTTGATCCCCAGCAGGAGGCAGCCAATCGATGATTCTCTTTCATCACTGATGTTTCTATGTCTCCCTTCTCTCTGAAATCAATAAAAAAATGTGTGTGTGTGTTTGTTTTTAAAAAAGATCAAGTTGGAAATATTAAAACAGAACCTTTTATTCTCCTATCCCAAAAAGGAAAAATCATTTGATTTGTTGCGAAATTTTGGACTCTTTGCAATTTAGCATTTCTCTTTTTACCTTGTGTAGAAGAGCATTACAAACCAGTATTAAAAGCTGGATAAATACTTTGAGCATGACTTAATAAGGTTTTGGGTATTAGGAATGAAATTCCAGATAACTGAGTCCTAGGACTCCAAATAGTCGATTTCTTTGAACGCATTTTCTTCCTTCTTGGTAGCTAGCCCTATGACCCTTTATGTGATTGGCTAAAGCAACAAGTAACAAGAAGCGCTCTCCTTTTGACTGACTGGCCAATCATGCGAAGTATCTACATACTTTCAAAAATTCCTTCCCAGATTCCCCCTTACTATACAGAACTCACATAATTTATAACATACCCCTGATGTGTCTGGCAATGCCACTGCAAATTAATGAGAATAATAAGACCTCAGATTAAGAGATTCTAATTCTACCTCTACAGCTATGCTCATTCCAAGCCTTAATTTCTTAATTTTCCATCTTTAAAATTATGAAAATGAAGAATTAAAAAAATATTTTAAATGCTATTTCACATCAAAACCAAGTTTTTATTGTTATTGAAGAGAATAAAATAAACCCCAGGATCATGTTTGAGGCTTAGCAAGTGACTAATTATTGGCTCTTTATTTTCAAAGAAGAGCAAAAATTAAACATATCATTGATATCAGAAGACATTTAGGGCTCTTGGTTCTAGGTACAAGTTGAAAATCACTTGAACAAAGTGAAAGTATTCTAAGCTTTAGAAAGGCACAGGAATAGCTAAGGAGGCCACTGTGAAGATCAGTTGGTAAAAAGGTAGCTCAAGGTTCAAATCTTGCAGGTAAACATTGGGTTGACATTAAATAAATTGAAGCCCAACATTTCCTGGACTACCTGTTCATCTATTGAGGTACCTCAAGTCTTGCCTTCAGGGGAATTTTCTACACCCAGTTTTATAGAACCCTGTGCTGTAACATAACTAAAGCCATACAGCATATGCCATACACAGCTAAATACTTTCCTAGACACATTGGTAACCCCCATCAGTTGTCATGCATGTATAAAGGGATATAATATTTTCTAATCTTTTTCTTTCTTCTCATCAAAGATTTGCACAGTTTCGAATTATTCTGGGGGATTTTAATTTTGCTGCTATTCAGCAAGAAAATCGCATCTTGGGACCCATTTACTTCATCACCTTCATCTTTTTCATAGTCTTTGTCCTATTGGTAAGAATGACCATATATGTTTCCTTTTTTGCGTACATATTTTAGAGTGAAAAATGAACAACTTAGAAGAAATTATAGTACCACTGGTTAGCTGTCAGAACACTTCACATTGACTAATGCATATATAAGTAACCACTCATATGCACTATTTTAAATTCTGTTTATTTTCCATAAACATGTCTGCCCAGGTCCACAAACTACACATTACCCAGGCTACTATATTTTAGTCTTCAGAGCAATTTCTCTATTACTGACCATATGAGTTACTCTTAAAATTTAAATCTAATTTTACAAACCCCAGCACTTGCCAAAATCACTAACATTTAAACTAAATTTTTATTGAAATAATTTCTTATTTGAATATTTCTCTCCAGAACATGTTCTTGGCAATAATTAATTATACCTATTCGGAAGTGCAAGATGATTATTCATTAGGCAGAAGACCATATTTTAAACTTGGTGAAATGATTAAGAAGGTATGTCAAATTCTTTTCCTAATTAGAATTCTAAGACAAATCTTGTTCAGTTTATACGCTTGTAGTTTGAATAACACTTAAATCCAAAAGTGGGTTCTGGTTCTGGTGTGTGTGTTTTTGAGGGGAGTGTGTGCGTTTTTTTGGTTTGACCCAGTGATAATCATTTTTGTATTATTTCACTACCAGGGCAGTGAAATAAACTCTCTGGCTTTTTAAAAAAGCGTGACCAAAATTATTTCAGAGTTTAATGTATCAAATAGTAATTGGGCTATTTACTAAATGCAAAGCACTGAATAAACGTCTCTCTCCAAAAGTTTTCCATTTAGATGCTGGCCAATTTCTATAAACAATCTAAACTCAGAACTCCATGTGCCTTACCTTCCTCACTTTCCTATTTCCATTAATGACAACACTCTTCTCAGGAACCCTAGGCTCTAATACCTTGGACTTATTTCCTTGTCGCTTATACGATCTGCTGCCAAGGCTTGTCTAGTTTTTGCTCATGTGTGTGGAACTCAAGGACACTCTTAATTCTGTCACCACTTTATCAGGGCCCTCAGTACTTTTCATCCAGGCTTTTGTACAGTAACATCTTACCTGTTCTAGCCTCTTTCCTGTGCCAGGCCAGCTCTGAGCATATCATTTCTCTGCTCAAAATTCTTCCGTTTCCCCAGGCCTATCAAAAAAAGTTCAAATTCTTATTCTTGTTGTTAACTCTCACCCAAGAATATTTTCCCATTGATTTTTAGAGAGAGTGAAAGGAATGGAGACACCGAGAAACATCGATGTGAGAGAGACATCGACTGGTTGCCTCCCACATGCGCCCTGACCTGGCAGGGATCGAGCCTGCAACCCAGGTATCTGCTCCTGACCAGAATCAAATCTGTGACGCTTCAGTCCACAGACCGAAGTTCTAGCCGCTGAACCAAATGGGCCAGGGCTAAGAAAATAATATTCAAATATTTATTTGAATATTAAATATTCAAATAAATTATTTCAAATTCTTTACCCAAACATTCAGGGCCCTTCTAAAGTCTCACAGCCCCAAACTATCTTTCTTTACAGTCATCTAACTATAGAATTTCTACCTCCTATGCCTCCATTTCCAGTATGGTAGGTCCCAGCCAATGTTGTAAGCACAGTGCTATTTACTATGCTTCCTCTCACTCTCTCCTCTGCTCATGTCATTCTCTGAACCCAAGTATATTCTCTGTGCTCTCTCACTGACATTCTATTTCCTCCAACAAAGGAATCTTCTCTGGCCTCTATTTCTTTTTAAAATATGTTTTTATTGATTTTTAGAGAGGGAGAGGGAGAGAAACATCAATGAGAAGCATCATTGATCGGCTGCCTCCTGCATGCCCCCCAATGGGGACCAAGCCCGCAACCTGGACATGTATTCTGACCGGGAAATGAATCATGACCTCTTGGTTCCTGGGTCAATGCTCAACCACTAAGCCACACAGGCCGGGCCTTCTCTGTCCTTTTGACACTACCTCACTTTGGATGGTAGCAACGTCATGTGTGTACAAACCATCTTGCCTACCTCTGCATAGCCACAGCTTTAACTAAAACACTTAACATGAAAAAGGCCCTAATAGGTGTAGGGTGGGTTAGTGGGATTTAAGAACTGTGTCCAAGAACTTATGTGTGAAAGAAAACTATTAATATGTCCACCAATGAACTTCCTTGTGGTTTCATCATTTATCTTGATTATGTTGGTTCTATGCATTAAAGTGTTAACTTTTTTATTTTTTTTATTTTATTGACTTGAGGAAGAGAAATATTGACCAGCTGCCTCCTACTGGGGATCAAGCCTGAAACCCAGGCAAGTGCCCTAACTGGGAACCAAACAGGCAATCTTTCTGTGCACAGGACGATGCCCAACTAACTGAGCCATACGGGCCACAGTGTGTTAACATCTTTAATGCAATAACTGTTAACAGTACTTTATTTTTATTGTTGACACTATTACAGATGTTCTCCCTTCCTCCCCTCTTTGCCCACCTATCTCCCAGCCCCACTGTTGTCTGTGACCATGGGCTATGCATATATGTTGTTTGTTAAAGTACTTTTTAAAGGGTGGTTTGTTTTTTTTCAAGTGCAGGTCTGATGCCCACAGAACTTTTTCCTTTGCACCAGCAGGCAGAAACCATAGTGCTGACAAACTGAAAAGAAGGATAATCATAGCATTTGCCTCTACTTTTCTTTAGTGTAGCAATCCCTAGAGACAAGCATTCCATATTTCCTTTACCTGGACCAAAAATTAACAATACAGGATATATTTTTTATTTTTTATTATGTCCAGAGTTACAACAATGTGCTCCAAAAACTCAAACTAAAGAAACCTCAAGAGGCTGAAGACAATAAAAGGTAAGATGACTTTAAAATTTTAATTTACCATTTTAAATCTCTATATTGTACGAGAAACTTATGAGAGTAAGATTTTGATAGCAAAACCACCACCATCCAAAGTGCTGGCTCTATATATGTTAATAAATCCAGTAGTGCTTAACTTCTGAGAGTGTCTTGAAACTCTAAGCTAATTTAAAAGAAATATAAGGTATGCCATACCACTAAAAAAACTTAACAGAAGCTGGACAAGAGGGTGAAATTCCTCTATAAAGTTAGGAGACAATTTTAGTCTACATTTAATGCATTTATTTAGCTATTGAAATAAAAACATTTACACAAAAGATTAAGAATACACTTACATTTATTGAGTCACTTTGTCATTAAAATGCTTTCCAAACCCACACTTCTGACAATGGGACATAAATACTTTTTTATAGTTAGAAATGTAATTCTCTGAGTAACTTCTTAATGACCACATTTTCCAAAAAGTCAGATATCAGAAAGAACAGAAATGCAATTCAGAACCTTTATATAAATCTGCTTGTATTTTATGCTGGCATTTCCCTATTTACTGACATGTGCCTCTAATTTTTCTTTCATATTTTCAGTAGGAAAAACAAAGATTTGGCTGAACAAGCCAGAAGAAAAGGCTTTGACGAAAATGTAAGATGTTAATTTTCTCATAAAGAAGTTATAGCTTTATTAGAAATATGCTTACAAAAATGTTCCAAGTTAGAACTGAAATGATTTCTTTTTTCAGAGCATTAGTTGCCACCTCCAAATATTTCTCCCAGAATCTATACCCTTGTTTAGGACAAATCATTTGGATTCCAGATGCTCCCTCTTTCTTATTGGTGCCCTCAGTCAGATACCCTGGTCCTACAGCTGTACTCTCACTGTGGGATAATCACACAGGGTTTAGTAAGTATACTCAATTGAGATGATTATATAAATTTTCTCTAGTAATCATTAATATATGATAAATCACTTTAATGATTTTTTATATTTCAGAACTATAACATATTCAATAAATGACTCAGTATATATACATGTATGTTTAAGAAATCATTATAAAGCACACAATATATGCAAGGGAAGAAAATGTAAGCCAAAGATTTTTATATCTAGCAAAACTGTAATTCAAGGCTCAAAGAGTTTTGAACGTGGAGGAACTCAGGTAATACTGTTGTATTCCTGAGGATTCTATAGGGATCAGCTTCTGCCAACCAAGAGATGATTGGAGAAATTTTGGAAAAAAGAAGGAGGGACAGAGAAGGAATAAGCAGAAAAAGCTGGCTGATTGGTTCATATACTAGTATAATAGTTGAAATTATCTTTTAGAGTTAACCAAGAAGAAAAGAAAAAACATTAGCATATTTAAGAGTACAACAGTAAATAAGATTGTTTTAATTATTTTAAAACTCCTTTATCACATTTTAACATCTCTGAAATCAAGATGTGCCTTATGGTTGATAGTGTATCATACGTTAATTGGCAGCATTTTTAATAAGTGGTACATAAAAAAAAGGTGTGTCTTACAGTAGACTCCACTTCTCATATACAAGGAAATATAGAAACATAATTTAAAATGTAATTGGGTAGTAGAGAGGAAGGAGATGAGGAGGAAGAAACTATAAGCTAATTTTCTTGTTAAACTTGTTTGATTCCTTGTGGAGGGAACCAAAGCAAGAAAGGGAGGTCTCAGGATGTATAAAAAGTTACATGACTAAAAACAAACCACTGAGCCCGGCCAGCATGGCTCAGTGGTTGAGTGTCAATCTTTGAACCAGGAGGTTACGGTTTGATTCCTGGTCAGGGCACATGCCCAGGTTGTGGGCTCAATCCCCAGTGTGGGGTCCCCAGTATGGGGCATGCAGGAGGCAGCTGATCAATGATCTCTCTCTCCCTCTCCCTTCCTCTCTGAAATCAACAAAAATATTTTAAAAACATGCACTGGAACAAAAGGGCAAAAGTACAAAACCAAAAAAGAGAACAGAAAATATAACACATGGTAAAAGACTTAAAATATAACCGTAAGACAATATGATATAATTGTGACCAAATATAGCAGACATATCAGTAATGGCAAAAAGTATAATCTACTTAAAAAGAAAAATATTTTCAGACTGAATCACAAAGCAATACCCAATTCTACACTATATCCTAAAATATACACCTAAAATAAATTCAGAAAAGTTAAACATAAAAGCATGAGCTAAGGTATAATAGGAAAGGAAAAGATATCAGGGGACACAATCTAACTAAAGATAGAATTCAAGACAAAAAGCTCTGAATGAGATGAAGGGTACTTTATAAGGCTAAGATCAACTCTAATAGTTATGATTATCAATGCACCAAATAACATGTCATCAACTTCCATAAAAACTACTGGGCTTATAAAAGGAGTAATAGGAACACACAAAAAATAGACAACAGATCAAGAAAAATAAAAGGATTAAAAAAGACAATATAATAAACAGGCAATCTTACAGTTATGTGTTAAATTCTGTACTCTCAGAAGATACATACTTTTCGAAAACCCATTCATTAAAACTGATGATATATTGGGCCACAAAGAAAAGCTCAATGAATTCCAAAAAGTAGTTAATACAGAAAAAAATTCTTGCCCTCGCCTATGTGGCTCAGTTTGTTGAAATCTATAGTTTTCAAAATAGTATGTATTGGCATAAGGACAAATAGACTAATGATCAGAATTGAGAGCCCAGAAATCAACCAATCAATGTTTCACTCTCACATAGATGTTTCTCTCTCTCTTCCTCTCTCTCTAAAATCAATAAAAACATATTTTAAAAAGAAAAATATCTGAAAATGACATAAAAATATATTAATGAAATTGTAAAATAAAAAATTATTTAACCAAGAAAAATTTTAATTATTAAACAATTTTTAATCAAAGAGAAAATACAAAATGAAATTGCAGAAAACAAAATGATAAAAACACTAACAGAATCTATAAGATAAAGGCAAATACCCTACCCAGAGGGAAAATTAGTAGCCTTAAATTTATCAATAAAAATCAAAGACAGAAAACATATTAATTTTAGCATGTGACTCAAAAAGTTAGAAAATAGACAACAAATAAGAAATAAAGATAAAAGCAGAACTGAGTTACAAACAACAATTAGTATACTAATAAATAAATAAAAAGGCTGGTTCTTTGAAAAGATCAGTGAAAAGAAATCACTAGACAACAAACGGAATAAGAGGGAGAAAGCATAAACATGCAAAGTAAAAAACTACAATGGGGGAAATAATCAAGAAACAAAAGAAAATTTTAAATATCACCAAAATAAATTGAAGACAACACAAACAAATGGAAAGACATTCTGTGCTCATGGATTGGAAAAATTAATATTGTTAAAATGTCCATACCACATGAACCCATATACAGATTCAATGCAATCCCTATCAAAATTCCAATGGCACTTATCATAGAAATAGAACAAATTCTTAAATTTGTATGAAAGCATAAAAGACTGAATTGCCAAAACAATCTTGAGGAAGAACAAAGCTGGAGGAATCATGCTCCCTGATTTCAAACTATATTACAAAGCTATAGTTTTCAAAACAGAAAATATTTGCAAATCATATATCTGGTAAGGGGTTAATCTCCAAAATATATACAGAACTCATATAACTCAATAACAACAAAGTAGGCAGAAGACCTGCACAAACATTTTTCCATATAAGATATACTGAGGGTCGTCAACAGGTAATAATAAAGATGCTCACATAATCATCAGATTACAAATCAAAACCACAGTGAGATTGCACCTCACACCTGTGAGAATGGCTATCATCAAAAAGACAAGAAATAACAAGTGTTGGCAAGGATTTGGAGAAAAGGGAACCCTTGTGCACCCCAGGGGGGCAATGTAAACTGCTGCAGTCACTATGGAAAACAATATGGAGCTTCCTCAAAAAATTAAAAATAGAACTACCATATGATTCAGCAATTCTACTTCTGGGAATTTATCTGAAGGAAATAGAAGCACAAACTCAAAAAGATATCTGCACCCATGAATCCATTGCAACATTATTTACAGTAGCCAATACATGGAAGTGTACATCAATGGAAAAATGGGTTAAAAAATGTGGTCTATATATACAATGGAATATTATTCAGCGATAAAAAAGAAGATCCTGCCATTTGTGACAACATGAATAGATAGCATTATGTTAAGTGAAATAAGTCAGATAAAGAGAAGTACTGCATTGTTTCACTTACATGTGGAATAATTTTTTAAAAATTCACAGATACAGCCCTAACCAGTTTGGCTCAGTGGATAGAGCGTCAGCCTGCGGACTCAAGGGTCCCAGGTTCGATCCCGGTCAAGGGCATGTACCTTGGTTGCGGGCACATCCCCAGTAGGGAGTGTGCAGGAGGCAGCTGATCGATGTTTCTCTCTCATCGATGTTTCTCTCTATCCCTCTTCCTTCCTCTCTGTAAAAAATCAATAAAATATATTAAAATAAAAATAAAATAAATAAAAATAAAAATTATCATTCTCCCCTTTAAAAAAAAATTCACAGATACAGAGAACAGATTGGTGTTTGCCAGAGGTGGGTGTGGGGGATCAGCTAAATGGGTGAAGGTAGTCAAAAGGTACAAACTTCTAGTTTTAAAATAAGACATGGGGATATAATGTTCAGCAGAGTGACTATAGTTAATAATACTGTGTTGTATATTTGAAAGCTGCTAAGAGATCTTAAAAGTCCTTATCACAATAAAAAAATCTGTAACCGTATGTTGAGGGATGTTAACTAAACTTACTGTGATCATTTCACAATATGTACAGGGTGAAGCAAAATAGGTTTACCGTTGGGAGTACACAAAACAGTTTATTCTTTTTTCTTTTCTTTTTTTAATCCTCACCAAAGGACATGCTTTTATTAATTTTAGAGAGAGAGGAAAGGAGAGGGAAAGAGAAACATTGATGTGAGAGTGAAACATTGATCGGTTGCCTCCCACATATGCCCTGACCGGGGATGGAACCTGAAACTTAGGTATGTGCCCTGACCAGTAATCGACCCCACACTGGCCAGGGCTACAGAGTTTACTCTTGCATTATTTTTTTTTCATACAAACAACTGTAAACCTATTTTTGCCCCACCCTGATATATCAAATCATTATGTTGTACACCTGAAAAAAGTCACTAAGAGACTTTTGGTATAATTTTATGCAAATAACATTTGAAAAACTGAATGCAATGGATTTTTCTATAAATATCAAATTGATCAAAACTGAGCACAGAAGAGATTTTTTAAAGCCTAAACAAATCTGTACTGTAGAAGAAATCAAGTCATCAAAGAGCTACCTTCAAAAGAAATCAGACCCAGTTGGTTTCACAAGGGAATTTTACCAGATTTTTAAAAATTGATTTTTAGAGAGCAAAGGGAGAGAGAGAAACATCGATGTAAGAACGGAACATCATTGCCCAGCCGATGAGGCTCAGTAGTTGAGCATCGACCCATGAGCCAGGTCATAGGTAGATTCTCGGTCAGGGTACATGCCTGGGTTGCAGGCTCAATCCCCAGTAGAAGTCGTGCATTAGGCAACTAATCGATGATTCTCTCTCAACATTGATGGCTCTATCTCTCTCTCCCTCTGCTTTCCTCTCTGAAATCAATAAAAATGTATATTTTTAAAAAGAGCAGAACATCAATTGGCTGCCTCCCCCCGACCCTCACTGGGAATCAAGCCTGAAACCTGGGTATGTACTCTGACCAGGAATTGAACTGGCAAATTTTTGGTGCATGGGACAACGCTGAACCAACCAGGGTGTATTTTACCAGATTTTATACAGAACAAGTAATTTCAAGCTATTTAAGTTGTTCCAGAGCAAATGGAAAAGTTCCAAATTATTTTTACAAAGTGATTATATAGTGATTCTAAAACCTGGCAAAGATCATACCAAAAATAAATAAGAAAGTATCACATAAATCCAGAAGCAAAAGTCCTAAATAACATATTAGCAAACAATCTAACAGAACAAAATTATATATCACTAGAGGCCTGGTGCACACATTCGTGCACCAGTGGGGTCCCTTGGCCTGGCCTGCACCCTCTTGCAATCCAGGACCCCTCAGGGGATGTCAGAATCCGTGCACCAGGCCTCTAGTATGCATATAAGATCTTTGGTTAATCTCTTCTCACCCTCCCCCTCCCCCATTCCCTCTGAGATTCATCAGTCTGTTCCATGTTTCCATGCCTGTGCGTTGAGCATCTGCCCCCTGGTGGTCAGTGCGTGTCATAGCTACCGGTCCAACAGTCGAAAGGTCGCTTAGGCTTTTATATATACAGATGATTTTAATAGAATTTATTCTAAGATGGAAAGATGGTTCAAAATTGGGTAATAATTCATTCTATTAATAGACTCTAAAAGGAAAATTACATGATAATTTTCCATAGATGTTGGATATTTGATAAGATTCAACATTCAATCTTGAGGGGGAAATAAAGCAATACAGGAAGCGACGGATACTTCCTTGATATAATAAAAACATATTTATTCACCCCTAATCTAGCACTTGCTTAACTGGGAGAAACACTGGACACATCAGAAACAAGACAAAGAGGTATTGGAGGGATCAGCCAAAACAATTAAGAGAAATAAACTAGAAGTATAAAAATTTCCTCTGTGATTCCTTTAAGTTTTCTAGGTATACAAATGAACTGAAAATTTATAACAAATTCCATAAACTAGTAGGAAAAATGATTCACATACATACAACCATGTTATATATATAAATATCAACTAGTTTGTTTAAAAAAATTTAATAGAAGACTCTATTTATAAAAGCAACAATGTAGAAAATGCCAAAGAATTACTAAAAAGTGTTTAAAAACAAAATAAGGAAAAATTCACTCAACAAAATGAAAATATATACTTACTAATGTATCAGTCAGGACCTAGTCAGGAAGATGGAAATCACATTATATGTTTCAAATAGAGAAAATTTACCACAGGGAATTTGGTTAAGGAAGTACTGGAAGACAGAAAAAGTAAAAACACTGAGGCAAAACATAAATAATCACTGTAGGATGATGCTACCACTCCAGGGTGAAGGTACAAAGGCGGGGTTATCAGAACCTACTATCATAGAGAAGGGCCCTGCATAGGTGCTCAGACCTCTAAGGGCACCCCCAGCCCAACCTGAGCCTTGTTCTGGGTACGCCAAAAAATGCTAGTAGCAAGTCTGGGATGAGTTTCAAAGCCTGAGACACAGCATCACAGAGAATAGTATGAGGACTAAATTTTTAGTTGGGAGACATTAGCTGAGTAGTTGGCCCAGTTTATCCTATTGGCTGTTTAGTACACACATTTGAATTTCCATAAAACAACAGTAACTACTTCAAGCTTCCATCTAATAAGATGAAACTATCCTTTATACAAATAAAGGTACTCTTATCCTTTCCCCAAAAAGGGAGAAGCAAAGTCCCAATAGTAATTATATCCATCCTCTGAGTGACTTTAAGGCCTTTTTTATTCAAATCAAAATCCCTTAAAAATATGTTTAAACTACAAAGCTTATTTTGGGACATGTAAGTACTGAAAGCACCTGTCCACTCAAGAATTCCTAGGCTCCAAATATAGCCCTCTCTGCACTCATTTTGTAGTTGCAACCAATTTCCTCTTGATAATTAGGATCAATCACCAAAGCCAGTTGAATCTTTGCCTAAAGCAAGAGGTTCTCAACCTGTGGGTCGCGACCCTTTGGGGGTCGAATGACCCTTTCACAGGGGTCACCTAAGACCATCGGAAAACACATATATAATTACATACTGTTTTGTGATTAATCACTATGCTTTAATTATGTTCAATTTGTAACAATGAAAATACATCCTGCATATCAGATATTTACATTACGATTCATAACAGTAGCAAAATTATAGTTATGAAGTAGCAACGAAAATAATTTTATGGTTGGGGGTCACCACAACATGAGGAACTGTATTAAAGAATCACGGCATTAGGAAGGTTGAGAACCACTGGTAAAGGATCCCAAATGGACAGGTGGAAGGTTCAAATTCTTAAGTCAATTGTCCCTTGATGGAAGCATGCTGTTTCTGAGTTTGTTCCTTTGCACCTCCCCTGCCACCGAGTACTCATCAGTTAGGATCCAATCAGAAAAACAAAAACACACTAGGTAGTTCAAAAGGAGGTTTACTACAGAGAATTCATTTCTGAGCTTTTAGGATGACTATAAGAACTAATGTGGAACACCAAATTAATCCAGAAACAATTATAAAAGGCAGCTACCACTTACAGGGAAGAGGTGGGATGACCAAAACCTAGAAACTTGGAGGAAATGTCCTCATTGAGTTGCTGCTCTGCCTTTGATTTTCCTATGACTGTCAAGGAAGGCTTCATGGAAAAGAGTGATGGTTGAGATGGGTGTTTTGAAAGATGAGTCAAGTTTAGCAGGCATAATCTATTTAACCCATATTACTAATGTTTCCACATTATTATAGGCCTGGTCATTTAGATATACTTATGGGGCCTACCACTTTTTAAACAACACATCAAAAGCATTTAGTAAATATGTCAAAATGTGGGTGCTGTAATGTGGCCAAAATAAAACTAGAAACATTAAAAGCAATCCTTTCCTACTTCAAATACTATCTGGTAAGTTTCTCTAACCAGAACAGCACACATTTATCAGGTGAACAGTACATAAATGCAGGTGTCATCATCCTGAGGAAGGTAATCAAGAACCCTTATGCCCTAACTGGTTTGGCTCAGTGGATAGAGCGTCGGCCTGCGGACTGAAGGGTCCCAGGTTCCATTCTGGTCAAGGGCATGTACCTTGGTTGCGGGCACATCCCCAGTGAGAGGTGTGCAGGAGGCAGCTGATCGATGTTTCTAGCTCTCTATCCCTCTCCTTCCTCTCTATACAAAATCAATAAAATATATTTAAAAAAAAAAGAACCCTTGTAACACGGATCCACTTTGCTACTTAGTGGTATTGCTGGAGCAGGGCAATATCATACTCATTTACTGACAAGTATTTGAGTCACATCTAAATGCACTTTCCTCTTTCCCTCTTTTTCTAGAGCTGTCCTTATTTTCCACAATGTACAAGGCAATTTTTCCAAAGTTTGGGAAAAGGTATTTGCACACTAAAGGAAAGTGGGGGGGGGGGGGGGGGGGGGGAAAAAGCACAGGAAGGACTCCTTAGGATCAGAGAAGGATGTAGCAAAGAATTTGCTGGTACAAGGAACTGATTTGGGGGTATGTAGACAGATTGGAGTGTACAAATTGATGCAGTAATTATGAAGAGGGGATTGGGATGGTTAGGTAAAACTGCAGGAGTGTGGCTGAGAAGCAGCTGTGCAGGCAAAGAATACACACAGATATACTTTGAAGTATAGTTGCAAGAATAGAGGTACAAAAATATCTCAGGTTTGGCCAAGTGAAGAATGAAGAAAATCATGAAAAGAGTGAGCTGGAGATGCAGTGAGGAGGAGGCAATGAAATGAAAATAAGCTGATAATTTTAATTTTAAAATTCCCCAACTCAACCAACAGTTCTAACACCAGGTCCTCTGAAGTAACTGCTAATGCATAGTACTAAAAACTGCCAAGGCAAAAAGGCAGTGGGGCTCAAACCTCAACCCTGTGATCCTTGTAAAACAGACTTGAAATAGAGAAAAACTTAAATGATTGCAGACTAGGCTTTTCCTCTAACTTGACAGGAGATTCAAAGTGCAGAGCAGATGAAAAAATGGAAAGAGAGGCTTGAGGAAAAGTATTATTCTACAGAAATTCAAGATGACTACCAGCCTGTCACTCAACAAGAATTTAGAGAGTAAGTATTTGTTCTCACCAGGGTACGATGGGATTATCATAACATGGGGGTTGGGGACATGAGTTACACACTTTATTTTCCCGAACCCAAAACCTCTTCTGCTAAGATGTCCCTTCTTTTTCCAATTGCTTTTATCCAATTTTAAAGTTAAACAGAAAGCACAAGCCTTCTCTTGTTTAAATGTAGGAGTGAGACCAACTGCTTTTTATCCTTGCTTCTCTAAAAAGGAACTGCCATTTATACTTGATATGTGTAGCAGATACTGTTCATTCTCCACACAGCTTTAGATTAGATGCATAACTGACCATACCAGGCATGTTTTAGTTCAAATAATCCCTTACCACTCAAAGCACTTTACAATAGGCACTAATAATCTGCTATCTCTTTTATGCACAAAAGTGTGTTACTGATTCATTCTCTACTTCCTTCTAAATTATCTCGTAGCCTCTTTTTATATGCTTTGGAGCTGGAGAAAGAATTACACTACATCAGTTTAAAACTAAACCGAGTGATGAGAAAGGTTTCAGCTCTATCCTACTGAGACAAGTGGAGGTGAGAATCTGTGATGCAATCATTGTACATTTCTAACAAAGATTCATTTCTGTATTGAATTATTTCCTAAACTTGTCCCCATTTCGGATATGCTTTAAAAGCACTAAACCACCTATCATCAAACTATTGCCAGAGTCAATGATAATCATCAAATGATTTCTGGGACTTAAGTGCCCCTGGATGGGACCGACTGTACAATCATGTATATTACAACATGCCTCCAAAGTATATATACACTGGTTCACACAGAGGACTTTATAATGTTATTAAACTAGAGGCCCGGTGCACAAAAATTTGTGCACTCGGGGGTGGGAGGTCCCCCAGCCTGGCCTGTGCCCTCTCGCAGTCTGGGACCCCTCGGGGGATGACCACCTGCTGGCTTAGGCCTGCTCCCCGAGGGATTGGGCCTAAGATGGCAATCAGACATCCCTCTGGCAGCCCGGCAGCCCTCGGGGGATGTCCACTTGCCAGCGGGGAGCAGGCCTAAGCTGCAGTCGGACATCCTTAGCGCTGCTGAGGAGGCAGGAGAGGCTCCCACCACCACC